TTTCTCACATGCACCCAAATGCACGCATTACCCTTTCCTGGATTTGAAGAACTCACAGAGAGAGAGAGTAGAAATACGGACAACAGATTTTTTATTGGTGTCTGACTAATAGTTTTGGGAATAAGTAGTCGTTTAGTCAAAGAATGTCTATGTAAAGAAGGAAAGGTTCCATAGACATAATGTAAACCAATTTGCCTACTGCGCCGCTAGAAAGAAGAGGGAACATTTGGCGAGGGAACCTGTTGGCGAGAATTTTACCCTCTGTAATGTACCGGACCTTACCGAGATTTTCCTCCTCCGCGACGTGGAGGAATACCGAGTAAGATTTCTTCTTTGTTAAAACGTTTCTATGACTTTTCTCGATAATTTAAACTCGGATTTTCGTGCTTTTTTTTTTTTTTTTTTTTTTTTTTTGCTCAAAATAAATAATTGATTAATTAATTTAGGGCGAAAAAATATTTTATTTACCTTTACACAAAACGATATTCGGGTTAATAATATTGTAACTAAACGTACTTAGATAATTTCATATAAGAAAGTCTTTTATATTAATTCAGATTATTTTATAAATTTATCAGTGTTTTTTAAATATACTGAAGGCGACTTTTTTTCACGATTCGCACGGTTTCTTTAAATATTTCCAAGTTATACAACATACCAAATTACCTCATATTAAATAAATAATAAAACCTCCAAATTTTAGAGTAAATTAAGTTTTGATACAATTAAATATTATATATTACATATATTTCTTCAAATTCTGGCATATTTATTTATATAATTCTGTGCATATTTATTTAATAAATCTATAACAACATCTTCCCTCGCTTTATATAACTCTACATAAATGTTTTCTCACAGATGTTACTTTTAACACTTCAGGCAGAGTTACAAAACTTTTAAGAAATTTCACAATTTTTTTTTAACAATACTGAAGTTATAGATGAAATACCAAAAATTATCATACCTTATTTAACATTCCCTTTTTTCTGTATGTATACATATATGTATAAATTTATACATTAAGTTTTGAATGCCTCGTTTGAAATATTATGCAGACCTTAAAAAGGTTCTCAGAAATATTACTACTGCAACTATAAGTAATGTCAACCATTTATACTTCTAATATTTAATATAATCTGAAATTAATTGCAGAATTAATATTAGACTTTGCGCCCACTCCTCCTTTTGATACTTTTGTACATATTTTCCCCTCATGTCATTTGTTTGACATATTCTGTAGCTGTGAATTAAAAAACTTTTCAGAAGCATATTTACTAACTTTAAACAATAGAAAAATTATCTACATAATTCAGCCAAATATAATTTTTAATATTTCAAGTAGTCTGAAATTAATAACAGAAATAATGACATACTTTACTCCCTTCCTTTACTTCTACATACTTTCTTATGCCTTTTGTTTAATATGTTATCAAGACTTTAAAGAAAGCCTTTCAGAAATATCATTACTGCTAGTAAACAACATTAAAAACTATCTATGTGATGTCAATTAATTAGAATTCATAATACTTAAAACAATCAGATATTTTAATTCAGATTAAAACAATCAGGAATACGACATATTTTATAATTCCACTCATTTAATATGTCTCTTAAATATTAAACAAAAAAAACAAAAAAACCAGAATTTATTTTAATATATTTTCTATTTATTGATTTTCTCTAACCGCAGACATAAAAATTCATATACATTTAATTATCTAAATGAGCAGCAAGCAATATTTTTAAACAAATTCTTAACTGATTTGTCAATGTCAGAAAATTTTTTCTTCTTATCAAAACATTTCATGTATAAACATTCTTGTTCATAAATTTTTTCTATTACAAACTCTTTGCAGGATTATTAAACCACATATTATTAACATAATTATAATAGCTAGCAGTTTTTGTTGTGCTTATCATAATGTTCTTTAATGTGTCCTAAACTTAAATGTTCTTTACTTAAAGTTTTCTATTGTTACCATGTTTTGCAATCCTTTCACAATATAATCCACATTGTTACTATTCAAAGCATATTTCAACACTGAAAAGCCAAGACATTATGACCACTTACTCAATAGCACATCATGTAACCTCTGGCCTACATAACAGCTTCAACTTGCCTTGGCATTGGACGACACAAGTTCTTGGTAGATGACTGCAGACAGGTTGTAACCAAATGTTTAAGCAGTGGTCACACACAAGTTGAGATATTCCAACATGGTGATGTTTGAGCTCAGAGCTGCCGCTCCATGAAATTCCAAATATGCCATATCGTAGTAAGATCTGGTGAGTTAGGTGGCCAGGGTACCTTAATTGGAATTCATCATTATGCTCCTCGAATACTCCAACACAATTCGATCCTTGTGACATGGGGCGTTGTTCTCCTGGAAGATTCCATTTCCAGTGGCTGTGTCGTGCCGATTTTGCGGTATCAAGAAGGGACAGTCTCCAAAGTCCTTTTTCTTTGATGATCTGTGGGTGTCAACATCTTACCATCTGCTGCTGGTTCCAACGTCATTTATCCAATTTGCATAAAGTTTAACAACGGCAGACTTGCGAAAAAAAACCTACCAGTTGTTCAGTTTCATAGATACTTTTTTCGAGCTCATTCGAGTTTCATTGAAAATGTGTCCCACATTTTTCAGTGGTCATAATGTTTTGTCCCATCAGTGTATATGCAAGAGTAATAATACGATAATACTATAAAAGGAACATTTTACACTCAAGGAATGTACATATTTGTGCTTATTATGATTGAAATATAAAGCAGAAGAACCAAATTTACAACCAAGAGGTAAGAGTTTATTAAAATAAAAAATCCTAAATTGCATTTAAAAAAATTTAAATCTGTATAGGTACGAAGTCACTAACTGTATAATTTAGTACATTACGTGCAACATTGCATAAATGAATATTTATACTGCGACTGAAATCCTATTCCTATTATTAAACATAAACATAAATAAACATAACCTAAGTTGATGATTTTCTACACTATTAATGAATTACTGAAAGAAACATTATTATGGAATTAATATATTACATTATATGACAAATTGGTATGCAATAATTGCTATTAATAACATTTGAAATATACTTGTTATTTCTCTTATTTATTTATTTTTTTAAACAAATCAGTGGTCACAAAATTTAGTTATGGATGATTATTCTTTTTATAATTTTATAAAAAAATCTAGTGTAAATAGGCTGATTTGCCCCATAACTGCATTCAGGATGATTCAGCCAATATTGTATTCAGTTTCACAATAAATAAATATAATCATCAAAGAATAAAATTTGCATCAAGAAATTTGTCCTGAAATGTATAATATCTGCATACTTAAAATTCAATATATAAAAGACAGCATGTGGCAATTAAAAGCACCAGTTCCATATAAACTTAAAAATCATGAAGCGTACTAAATTCATACATTACCTATTATTCCACCTTAAAAACATTAGCATCCATTATCAATAAATCACATAGAATATGATATAAAAACTGATTAGTAGCATAATAGAAAATAGACACAAAATATTTGATACGCCATATTTTGATGATGCTTTCAATTGCCCTTTAATAAAATTGCAAATTACAGGACTGACCATTCATTGAATCACCTTAAGTATATCTGCTATAGAGTTCTTGCCGCAGCAGTACTTTTAAAAAATCTTCAAGTACGATACTTGGGATTATCTTGAGAGATTAGCCTCTTTATTTTTAAACTCTTGAAAAAATGGAGTGTAAACTTTGGAGTGTGTATCTGGTGTTTTAAATGCTAAGGAGTCTTTCTCTTCGTCCTCATTATTTACAGATGGCAGTTCTTGAGTTCCAGTCTCATCTGTTTTTTTCTATTCGAGTCAGTGACATCGTTTCAGTATCTACTACTTCCACGGTCTTTCGAATTTCGTCATCTAATAAGAACAAATATAAAAAATACTTCATTTAAATATACATAATACATAATACAAATTTGGAATTTAATAAGTTAACAATTTTAGAGTGTTGAGTATTTCTGGAAGACTTTTCTGTTAATTCTTAAATACTTATCATTGACACAGCTTGTTATTTATTTGAGCTTTTTTTTAATTTATGAATAGCGTGATTCTTGTGATTTTCTTTATTGAGTTACTGTAGTGAAATATTAGTTTATAGATTTTTAAGTACAATGTGATAGACCCAGTGCAGATTCTAAACTGTTCGTCACTGACGTGCAAATTAAAACTGGCTGCCCTTTTTTACAGAGATATGTTTGATAATCATTTTGTTGCCCTTAAATCTGGCCACCTACATGCTGTGCACCATCTTGCCCCAACAAGATAATATAACCTGGATATAACCCTACATAAAAAAAAATATCAGCCAATATTGTGCAACTAAAAAACAAAAAAAAAAAAACTTATTCTTACTGACAAAAATTCTTTGTTATCCATCTTCTCATTTTTATCACAAAACGATACGATATTTATGCCTCTAGTTTTGGGTTAAAACGTTTCAATAAACATGTAGAATCAAATGGCAAAAATTAGTTCAGCAAGGGAAAAAAATGCCAAAACTCAGAAGCAGCAATGCTCTTTAATGATTTTCATTTGCCTTTTTAAGTTGTGAACTTATACACAAGGTACTGTAGTCAATTTAAATAAGTAATCACCTGTGATCTAAGAATGACATTGATTCCTCCAACTGATTTTTATGGGAAAAATAGTTTACTGTTACAACAAAAAAACAAAACTGCTTACAAGCTTTTTCAATGAAATGGTCATTAGGAAAAAATTAAATTTTCATTGTTAGGATTCATGAAAAGTATTTTTCTTTACTCAATGAACCTTCACATAAAAAATAAATGGTTTGCATCCAGGGCTACTGATGCATCACTAAACCATACAAAAATAACCGATTCATTGAACACGAAATGCACAGTTAAAAATTGAAATTATAAAACAAGATAAAAACTTACATTATCACAAGGAATAAAATTTATTTTTACATAAATGTATAAAGAATCATGTTTACCAGTTTGCCCTAACTTCTTCGGTACAGCACAGGAATGTAGGTAACGGAATTTGGTTGTACGGAAGTCACTTTCAGTGAAGTGTATAGAACACACTTTTCCTTTTCTGTATAATTCATCTGCAGATTTGCTGAGCAGATCTTTAGTGCAGGCAGCCCACTGTTTTGACCTGAAAAACAGAAAAGAGTAACTTCATTTTCTTTGATTTAATGAATTTATTGCTAGTGAAGATGTAGCATCGTTTAAATTAAGTAATTTTAATGAAAATTTGGCTACACATTAGAATGCTAATTCATTAATGTTTATTATTTACAATAATTTTTATTAAATAGTCAAAGTACCATCTGACTTAGGTGGTCGTAAAATTAAAATTAGAGCTAGTTTAGGTGGTCGTAAATTAAATTTGATTAGGTGGTCGTAAAATTAAAATTAGAGCTAGTTACTGCAAAATAAATTACTACCTGAAATTATTGATAATGTATATTTACTAGACAAAGATATGATAATGATATAATAATCAAATATTTATAAATTATGCGTGTATGTAAATATAAGTTACAAACTCTTACCTCACAGGATCCTTAGGGAATCCGAAGAATCTTCTCTCTGGATTTTTCCAAGATGTTGTACCACAACAAAAACATCGATATCATGTTTTGGTAGCTGCTTTCCTTTTCCTAAGCAAGAGATATACAATAAATTAGTCGATCACTCGACATCCCGAATGAAAAAAATAATATGCTATGAATTTGCATTTTTATAGAAACTGATAAAATTAAAAAACATCAGATAAAATGTGAAAATTGCTGCAAGTATATTTTAAGTGCCAATACATAAGGCTACATTTAAAATAATATTTACAGAGTTCCATAAAACTAATCATAAATTATTTTTTAAACATAAGAAAGGTTTTTAATTTACATTTAAGGCTTCAATATTCTACATTTCATTAATTAAAATTATTAGTTCATAGATTCTAACATTTAGAAATTTGAAAAGTATTGGCAATAAAAATGTTATTACTGCAATGTGAGGTAGAAAAACACTCTTTACAGAACTTGCATTATTCGTATATTTAGATAAAACTTGCTTGGTCAACATGGAAATAAAAAGCTACCACTAAAATATGTTATTTACTACATCAGCAATTTTTTAAGTTTAATGATAAAAAAGTTAGAAATAACGCTTACCTGAGAAATGATGAAATATTAGGTGAAGTTTCACTTTCACTGGCTGTTGAACTTGCACTATCCATATCGCAGATTGATTTATTGATGTCCGATTTGATCCGTCAATATGGAGAAAAAAATGGTGTCACACAGCTTTAAACTCGTGAAAAACGTGACCGTCAAACCTGTTGGAACTTTGGCGCTGTTTTTGGCGACACATAATTCATGCATGCGCAGCTGTTTCCCTTTTCGTTGGAAGGGAATGTTAAGAAAGAAAGCTTCGCAAAAGCAGAAGTGGCTCCCTTCGAACGAAAAAAGAAACAGCTACGCATGCATGAATTATGTGTCGCCAAAAACAGCGCCAAAGTTCCAACAGGTTTGACGGTCACGTTTTTCACGAGTTTAAAGCTGTGTGACACCATTTTTTTTCTCCATATTGACGGATCAAATCGGACATCAATAAATCAATCTGCGATATGGATAGTGCAAGTTCAACAGCCAGTGAAAGTGAAACTTCACCTAATATTTCATCATTTCTCAGGTAAGCGTTATTTCTAACTTTTTTATCATTAAACTTAAAAAATTGCTGAATGTAGTAAATAACATATTTTAGTGGTAGCTTTTTATTTCCATGTTGACCAAGCAAAGTTTTATCTAAATATACGAATAATGCAAGTTCTGTAAAGAGTGTTTTCTACCTCACATTGCAGTAATAACATTTTTAATGCCAATACTTTTCAAATTTCTAAATGTTAGAATCTATGAACTAATAATTTAATTAATGAATGTATAATATGAAGCTCTTAAATGTAAATTAAAAACCTTTCTTATGTTTAAAAAATAATTTATGATTAGTTTTATGGAACTCTGTTAAATATTATTTTAAAATGTAGCCTTATGTATTGGCACTTAAAATATACTTGCAGCAATTTTCACATTTTTTATCTGATGTTTTTTAATTTATCAGTTTCTATAAAAAATGCAAATTCATAGCATATTATTTTTTCATTCGGGATGTCGAGTTGATCGACTAATTTATTGTATCTCTTGCTTAGGAAAAGGAAAGCAGCTACCAAAACATGATATCGATGTTTTTGTTGTGGTACAACATCTTGGAAAAATCCAGAGAGAAGATTCTTCGGATTCCCTAAGGATCCTGTGAGGTAAGAGTTTGTAACTTATATTTACATACACGCATAATTTATAAATATTTGATTATTATATCATTATCATATCTTTGTCTAGTAAATATACATTATCAATAATTTCAGGTAGTAATTTATTTTGCAGTAACTACTTCATAAACTAGCTCTAATTTTAATTTTACGACCACCTAATCAAATTTAATTTACGACCACCTAAACTAGCTCTAATTTTAATTTTACGACCACCTAAGTCAGATGGTACTTTGACTATTTAATAAAAATTATTGTAAATAATAAACATTAATGAATTAGCATTCTAATGTGTAGCCAAATTTTCATTAAAATTACTTAATTTAAACGATGCTACATCTTCACTAGCAATAAATTCATTAAATCAAAGAAAATGAAGTTACTCTTTTCTGTTTTTTCAGGTCAAAACAGTGGGCTGCCTGCACTAAAGATCTGCTCAGCAAATCTGCAGATGAATTATACAGAAAACGGAAAAGTGTGTTCTATACACTTCACTGAAAGTGACTTCCGTACAACCAAATTCCGTTACCTACATTCCTGTGCTGTACCGAAGAAGTTAGGGCAAACTGGTAAACATGATTCTTTATACATTTATGTAAAAATAAATTTTATTCCTTGTGATAATGTAAGTTTTTATCTTGTTTTATAATTTCAATTTTTAACTGTGCATTTCGTGTTCAATGAATCGGTTATTTTTGTATGGTTCAGTGATGCATCAGTAGCCCTGGATGCAAACCATTTATTTTTTATGTGAAGGTTCATTGAGTAAAGAAAAATACTTTTCATGAATCCTAACAATGAAAATTTAATTTTTTCCTAATGACCATTTATCATTGAAAAAGCTTGTAAGCAGTTTGTTTTTTTGTTTGTAAAGTAAACTATTTTTCCCATAAAAATCAGTTGGAGGAATCAATGTCATTCTTAGATCACAGGTGATTACTTATTTAAAATTGACTATAGTACCTTGTGTATAAGTTCACAACTTAAAAAGGAAATGAAAATCATTAAAGGGCATTGCTGCTTCTGATTTTTGGCATTTTTTTCCTTGCTGAACTAATTTTTGTGGCCATTTAGTATTCTACATGTTTATTGAAAACGTTTAAACCCAAAACTAGAGGCATAAATATCATATCGTTTTGTGATAAAAATGAGAAGATGGATAACAAAGAATCTTTTGTCAGTAAAAAAGAATAAGGTTTTTTTTTTTTTTTTTGTTAGTTGCACAATATTGGCTGATATTTTTTTATGTAGGGTTATAACCAGGTTATATTATCTTGCTGCGGGCAAGATGGTGCACAGCATGTAGGTGGCCAGATTTAAGGGCAACAAAATGATTATCAAACATATCTCTGTAAAAAAGGGCAGCCAGTTTTAATTTGCACGTTAGTGACGAACAGTTTAGAATCTGCACTGGGTCTATCACATTGTACTTAAAAATCTATAAACTAATATTTCACTACAGTAACTTAATAAAGAAAATCACAAGAATCACGCTATTCATAAAATTAAAAAAAAAGCTCAAATAAATACAAGCTGTGTCAGTAATGATAAGTAATTTAAGAATAAACAGAAAAGGTCTTCCAGAAATACTCAATACTGTAAAATTGTTAACTTATTAAATTCCAAATTTGTACTGTAAAGGATTACGTATTATGTTATATTTAAATGATGTATTTTTTTATATTTATTCTTATTAGATGATGAAAGTCGAAAGACCGTGGGCGTAGTACATACTGAAACGATGTCACTGACTCAAATAGAAAAAACAGATGAGACTCAAGAACTGCCGTATGTAACTGAGGACCAAATTAAAAATGTACTCCTTACATTTGTTAATACTATTATGTTTATAATTCATTCTCCAAATTTGGATTTTAATATACTATAATTTTGGAATTTTTTCATCTGATCTGTTGTATAAGTAAAATATAATTAATTTTATATCTCTCATAACATGTATAATCCCAAAATTCATGAAATTATTAAGAAACTCCTCAATCAGTTTATTTTTTATTTAAATTTAGTGTGTGTGAGAAGCAGTATCTTGAAATATAAATATGTATTAAAGTTGTGTATTCAAAATTGTATGTTATGTATTGTTTGATTGGAAAAAATTAATTAATTAAGAAAATGATTTTATTTTTATTTGTTAAATTTTTCTGGGGAATTTTGTGTCTATTTTCTATTATGCTAATAATCAGTTTTTATATCATATTCTAAGTGATTTATTGATTATGAATGCTAATTTTTTTTAAGAGGGAATAATAGTGAACCAATTACGTATGAATTTAGACTTAAATGCTTCATGATTTTTAAGTTTATTTGGAAATGGTGCTTTTAATTGACACACGTTGTCTTTATATACTTTAATTTTAAGTACGCAGATATTATGCATTTCAGGATAAATTTCTTGATGCAAAATTTATTCTTTGATAAATATATTTATGTATTGTGAAACTAAATACAATATTGGTTGAATCATCCTGAATGCACTGAATTTTTTTTATAAAATTAAATAAAGAATAATCATCCATAACTAAATTCTGTGACCACTGATTTGTTTTTAAAAAAAGCAAAATAAGAGGAATAACAAGTATATTTCAAATGTTATTAATTGCAATTATGCATACCAATTTGTCATAATAATGTAATATATTAATTCCATAATAATGTTTCTTTCAGTAATTCATTTAATAGTGTAGAAAATCATCAACTTATGTTATGTTTATTTATGTTTAATAATAGGATTAGGATTTGAGTTGCAGTATAAATATTCATTTACGCAATGTTGCACGTAATAAGTACTAAATTATACAGTTAGTGACTTCAGTAACCTATACAGATTTAAATTTTTTAAATGCAATTTAGGATTTTTTAATTTTAATAATACTCTTAACCTCTTGGTTGTAAATTTGGTTCTTCTGCTTTATATTTCAATCATAATGCAGCAAAATATGTACATTCCTTGAGTGTAAATGTTCCTTTTATAGTATTATAACTCTTGCATATACACTGACGGGACAAAACATTATGACCACTGAAAAATGTGGGACACATTTTTCAATGAACTCGAATGAAGGCTCGAAACAAGTTTCTATGAAACTGAACAACTGGTAGGTTTTCGCAGTCTGCCATTGTTAGTATTTATGCAAATTGGATAAATGACACTGGAACCAGCAGTAGATGGTAAGATGTTCACACCCACGGATCATCAAAGAAAAAGGACTTTGGAGACTGTCCTTCTTGATACAGCAAAATCGGCACCACACAGCCACTGGAAATGGAATTGCCCCATGTCACAAGGATCGAATTGTGTTCGAGTACGAGGAGCATAACGATGAATACCAATTAAGGTCCTGGCCACTTAACTCATCAGATCTTGATGCGATATGGCATATTTAGAATTTCATGGAGTGGCAGATCGGAGCTCGACACCACCATGTTGGAATATCTCAACTGTGTGTGACCACTACTTAAACATTTGTTACAACCTGTCTGCAGTCATCTACCAAGAACTTGTGTTATCCATGCCAAGGCAAGTTGAAGCTGTTATGTAGGCCAAAGGTTACACATAGTGCTATTGAGTAAGTGGTCATAATGTCTTGGCTTTTCAGTGTTGAAATATGCTTTGAATAGTAACAATGTGGATTATATTGTGAAAGGATTGCAAAACATGGTAACAATAGAAAACTTTAAGTAAAGAACATTTAAGTTTAGGACACATTAAAGAACATTATGATAAGCACAACAAAAACTGCTAGCTATTATAATTATGTTAATAATATGTGGTTTAATAATCCTGCAAAGAGTTTGTAATAGAAAAAATTTATGAACAAGAATGTTTATACATGAAATGTTTTGATAAGAAGAAAAAAATTTTCTGACATTGACAAATCAGTTAAGAATTTGTTTTTAAAAATATTGCTTGCTGCTCATTTAGATAATTAAATGTATATGAATTTTTATGTCTGCGGTTAGAGAAAATCAATAAATAGAAAATATATTAAAATAAATTCTGTTTTTTTTTTTTTTTTTTTTTTTTTTTTTGTTTAATATTTAAGAGACATATTAAATCTGAGTGGAATTATAAAATATGTCGTATTCCTAAAATAATATCTGATTGTTTTAAGTATTATGAATTCTAATTAATTGACATCACATAGATAGTTTTTAATGTTGTTTACTATCAGTAATGATATTTCTGAAAAGGCTTTCTTTAAAGTCTTGATAACATATTAAACAAAAGGCATAAGAAAGTATGTAGAAGTAAAGGAAGGGAGTAAAGTATGTCATTATTTCTGTTATTAATTTCAGACTACTTGAAATATTAAAAATTATATTTGGCTGAATTATGTAGATAATTTTTCTATTGTTTAAAGTTAGTAAATATGCTTCTGAAAAGTTTTTTAATTCACAGCTACAGAATATGTCAAACATATGACATGAGTGGAAAATATGTACAAAAGTATCAAAAGGAGGAGTGGGCGCAATGTCTAATATTAATTCTGCAATTAATTTCAGATTATATTAAATATTAGAAGTATAAATGGTTGACATTACTTATAGTTGCAGTAGTAATATTTCTGAGAACCTTTTTAAGGTCTGCATAATATTTCAAACGAGGCATTCAAAACTTAATGTATGAATTTATATATATATGTATACATACAGAAAAAAGGGAATGTTAGATAAGGTATGATAGTTTTTGGTATTTCATCTATAACTTCAGTATTGTTAAAAAAATTGTGAAATTCCTTAAAAGTTTTGTAACTCTGCCTGAAGTGTTAAAAGTAACATCTGTGAGAAAACATTTACGTAGAGTTATATAAAGCGAGGGAAGATGTTGTTATAGATTTATTAAATAAATATGCACAGAATTTGAAGAAATATATATAATATTTAATTGTATCAAAACTTAATTTACTCTAAAATTTGGAGGTTTTATTATTTACTTAATATGAGGTAATTTGGTATGTTCTATAACTTGGAAATATTTAAAGAAACCTTGCGAATCGTGAAAAAAAGTCGCCTTCAGTATATTTAAAAAACACTGATAAATTTATAAAATAATCTGAATTAATATAAAAGATTTTCTTATATGAAATTATCTAAGTACATTTAGTTACAATATTATTAACCCGAATATCGTTTTGTGTAAAGGTAAATAAAATATTTTTTCGCCCTAAATTAATTAATGGATTATTTATTTTGAACAAAAAAAAAAAAAAAAAAAGCACGAAAATCCGAGTTTAAATTATCGCGAAAATTCAAAGAAACGTTTTGTCAAAGAAGAAATCATCTTAATCCGTATTCCTCCACGTCGCGGAGGAGGAAATTCTCGGTAAGATCGGGTACATTAGAGAGAGGAAAATTCTCGCCAACAGGTTCCGTCGCCAAATGTTCCCTCTTCTTTCTAGCGGCGCAGTAGGCAAATTGGTTTACATTATGTCTATGGAACCTTTCCTTCTTTACATAGACATTCTTTGACTCAAGCTCCGACGCATTCAAATGCGAACGGTTCTTAGAAGCTATTCGAACAAACAGGGCCAACGGGTTTAGTTATACTACATTACAAAGAAGATAAAAGTGGCGTCCATTATGTTAGAGGAAAGGCCTTTTGGTGGTGAAATCTGTAAATGCCTACATCAAGAGTTGGCCTCTTATCTGTTGATCTACGTCTGTAAAGAAATACTTCAGAAACATGTGTTCAAAAAGACCACTTTTATACTTCTAAATACTTTCGTTCTGACAGCAAGAATTTTTAAAAAAAGTAGGTTGTTTTCAATATAGGAAAAAGAAAAGTAATAAGCTAATTTAAATTGTTTTTCACAGAATCAAGTAGGAAGATAAAATATTTTCGTAGAGATTATTTTGCGAGTAATGTTGCGAAAATCTCACCTAAGTGCATGTATTTTCAATCAGATTTATTTAATGCCTAATTTACGAAGTTGTCTTAATTTATTAAACAATCGCATTTTCGAACATATAAAATATACATTAATACATACATAAAAATGAAATAAAATTTGAAAATAATGCAATTTAGGAATTAGTGTATTAAAAATATTAAAAATTTGGTTATGATATCACTTTTACGTTATATGCATTTATTTTATTTTTGTAATATGCGTTTTTAAATTTATTTTATTTCGGCATATGCATTTATTAGCCTTTGTTGTCAAATTTTGTCTGATTATTTGAATATGGCAAAGCAAACGGGATCTGTCTGTCTAAGGATAGACAAGTCGCCGTGGTAGGCTTTCTAAGTAAAACTCACTCACATCCATGTGACTCATATCCATGGGAAAAACTATGAAACCCAACCATGCAGCCAATTTGTTCGTTTTGGTTTCAGTGCGAGTGGAATTAATAGTAATCAGCGGTCTTAGTTAGGTGGGCCATTATTGGGCTCTGATAGAATTTGAAAACCTGATAAATCGTATTTAATAAACATAATATCAGTAAACGGAACCAGATTTATAAAACAAAAATAAAATGCTTGTATCGGACATAACTAAATCTCGATATAACACATAACTACACTGATAAAGTGGAAGTGTTATATCACTGAATTTCTAAATACTGAACGTGAAATATACATTAATTCTACATATAGAATTATTTTAGCAAATTTCGCGGGGAATGTCTGTCGGCAAAATCCTTATTATATACATCGTTATTTTAAATTCGTTGCATATCTCGTATTTTTACTCTTACCTCAAAACACATTTAATTTACAAATCACTTTATTTTTTATTTAAGATTAATAACTTTATTTCCCTAGAGAAATTTCTCTTGATCTTTTCAGTTATAGGATAACACGCATGAAACAATTTTCTCTTTACAAATATATGCGCTAGTAAGAAAATGCACTTCGACAGCAACTCATTTTGATAATGGTAAAATTTTTCTAAACATAAGAAATTTGTTACTTAAATTAATTTTTTCATTAAACAAAAAACAGAACAGAATGAGACATTATTAAAAATGTTTCATTGACATTTCATATTCTGAAAACAAGAACATTGCTATAAAAGCAAAGAAAAAAGGAACAGCATATTTCATTTAACGGGGACCAACTTTGACGCATAAACTTTTAAACACAAAATATTTTAAACATGCTATGCTGTAATCGTTTGGTTTATTTGATTATGGCAAAGCACTCGAAGGTTATTTACATAAGGGGAAGGATGCCTTCGTGGAGGACTTTCTAAGGGGAACCGGCTTGTGTATATACGTTACACATGAGAAAGACACGAAAGCATCCATTTAGCTAGCACTTTTCTCTTTCTCCTGGATTCGAACCCTGTATATAACTACCAGTATTCCATTGTGGGCTAAGTTGAATAACAGAAAAGATCAAAATCTCATAACAGACGCAAAATGATAGCCTGTATAATACGAAGTTATTGCCATTTCAATAGCATAAAATGTCTTTCGCAATATTGTATTTTGTTTTATTTAGCTCGCATGACAAAATACACGAGGATTATTTGGTAGTTTGATTTGGATTCAAACCCCTGTGAGCTGGCTCATCACATCTGCGTTTTCGTGACTTTACCTATATGTAACACCGGTACGAGATAGTTTCCCCTAGAAAGTCTTTCACGAAAGAATACCCTCTTTAAACAGATCGCCCTTTGCGAGCTTTGTCATTAATCTAACAATCCAAACGTAATTCCAAGCGAGGACTCGTAGTCAGAGCACGTCTTCATGAAGGTCTTTTGAACTTTCTGAAGCCGGCTGGTACAGCAGTTGTACCAGGAAAATGACTTCCTCTAACGCCGGCTGTTTTATGGTACAGCTGTAGTACCAGCTGTACCATAAAACAGCCGGCGTTAGAGGTACCAGCATTCCCTCCCTATTTTTATAGTACCAGCATTCCCTCCCTATTTTAGAGAATCGCTTATCTGTAGATCTCGGGGTAGTCCATTGTCGCTGCTCAGAATAGCCGCTGGCTACGCATTATTTCCCTTTTCTTATCAGTTCGGCTACATTTTGGCAAAAACCGCAGGTTTCGTCTCGCGCCAATATAGAGGCCATTTCTAATTCAAATAGAGGCCATTTCTAATTTTTTTAGTACTGACTTTTGCTATGATTAAAACGTCAGCGATTTTGCACGCTGTTTAAGCTTACCAGATTTAATGCTTTTTAATTGTAGCAAATAAGAATAGATTCATTTTTTAGATTTAATGCCCTTCTAGAAAATAGCTAAAACCGCTTTTATCGTTTACTTCCTTTTTATACTTATGAATAATAAAATTTTATTTTGACTTTTTTTTTTTTGAGTTCATAAAACCTTTAAGACTTATTAAGTCTTTCAAAGTGCTTCTATTATGTAGGAAATTTTGTCTGATTTATCAGGAGATAAATAAGAGACAATTGTATGCATAATAGTTTTTGTGATTTTCGTTCATTCGGTGATTGCTTTCAATGATTTTCATTGATTGTAAATTAAATAAAATCAATTTATCCTTAAAACCTCTTTTAGGATGAGATCTGCCAAAAAGTATTTAAATATCAGTAAAGCTCACGTTACTTCTGAATTGAATCAAAACATCAGTTACATTGTATTAAATTTCGGCCAGTTTTATTTGCTGAAATTCTTATACTTCCCAACAGATAAAGGGAATTCAGACAAGTTAATAAAAAAATATCTTTAAAAAGGGTTATTATTTTGTCTGTAATAAGGTGTATGTCAACTTACTATTAAATGTATGAGAATTAGGATTGGATTACGGAAAAGCACGCGAACGCTATCTGCTTAAGTGGATGGATGCTTTCGTGTAAACCTTTTTAAGAGAAAATTGCTCGCATTTACGTTCCTGGTGGAAAACTCCACATGTAATCAACCCGTTCTTCGGGTTTGGTTGGATTAATTTTGTACGCTTACTGAATTACA